TGAGTAATAGTTAGTAATTGCTAACAGATACTGATACAAATATTTGTCAACTTAGAAAAATGTAACAGCAAAATAAAGAACTATTTACACTTTTAAAAAGTTAAGTAATGCAATTCAGTCATGTGTCCGATAATCCTTATCGCTTTCCCTTGAGCCATCTGGAATTGTGGTGTTTTTCCTAAAAAGATTAAGGTCTTGATTCTAAGTCCTGCTGTGCTCCCCTTCATATAAGTGGTATTTCTGTGCCCGTAATAACAGAATCTCACACTTAAGTGTGTTATTTTAAAAAACACACCCTGCAGATATGGCTCTGAGTAAGGAAATCTGCACAAGGAACCTTCTCACTGATGTCCCATCTTTATTCCATCAAGGAGATGGGGTTTCCTCCTATGGCGGGCCTGTCAGCAGTACTACAGGATCTCAGAAGTCAAAGCCATATGCAAACAGGCTGTGTTACTCACCCTTGCTTCCCTGTCACCTTGGCTCCAAGCTCTTTCTCAGGCTATGTCTAGACTGCAGGCTTCTTTCAGAACAAGCTTTTCTGGAAGAGATCTTCCAAAAAAAAATTCCTTCGAAGGAGCGTGTCCCCAGTGCGAACGCGCAACGAAAAAGCGATGCGCTTTTTCAACAGATAGTGTCCACGTAGCAATTGTGACCAATAGTGTCCAGCTATTTCGCATGCAAGCTGTGATTACTATGGGTGGAATGACCACCAAGGCATCTGTGCTTTTTCCTCTTTCCTCTTCTTGCAAAAGAACTCCCTCTTCCCCATCCACACGTGCCTTTTTCTGAAAGAACTCTTTCAGAAAAAGGCTTCTTCCTCATAGAAAGAGGTTTACCAATGTCGGAAAAACCTCTCAGTTCTTTCGATTTTTTTTCAAAAGAATGCAATTGCAGTGTGGACATAATTGAAGTAAAAAAACCGCCATTTTTCCAAAAAAAACCCTGTAGTGTAGACATACCCTCAATCAGGTCTGCTTCCATGAAAGAGAGAGACAAATTTTATTAAGTGAATGTTTGAAAGAGAGTTTGAATCACAAGTTTAACAGTTATGGAGTGAATCCAGAATCCAGGGACAAGTTTGGTTTGCGGGGGAGGGTGAGTACATAATGAGCAAGATCAGTAACATGCTGCCCAAGTCTAGTGCGCTTATTTCATGCCCTTTTGCCGTGTTATATCTCCACATATATAGTGGACCAGCATCGCCCTGAATGTGTCCTGTATGTGGGTTGAGAAGTACATATGCAAATTCTGGTGGATGATGTGTGGGGGGGGAGTTACAGCAGGTGGATTTTGAGATACAAACAGAACATAAAGAGCATGTCCCACATTGCCCCGGATTCAGGTGAGTGGTTGTTTTTAGTAACAGAGTCTATATTTAGTTGTGAGGGCACCTTGCCTTGAGAATTTAGGGTAAGTGCACACCCCACAGTGTGGCCTCTCCCTATGTCCCCAGTTATATTGGGGGGTAATAAATACGTTATCACTCGGGGGACGAAACCTGCGCTTTCCCCAGCTCTGACCCTCATCAGGATTTCTGTGGTGCCTTC